GTATGTATGTATGTTTGTTTGTTTGCATGCATGTATGTATGTACGTATGTACGCATGTATGTGCGTGAGTTTTTGTGTTTGTGCATATGTTTCTGTTCTATGTATAACCCCAGGTCCCGGCGCCGGTATAGTAGCAGAATAAAACATTAGCATACAGACAGAACCCGCATGCATGTATGCATGTATATCATGTGCGTTCGTTTGCTCGTGCCTGCGCCCGCCGAGTATATCTCTTGACTCCTACTGCTGCTTGCATCTGCATTTTCGCTGCTTTCGCCTTTGCACGTCTGCGCACTTGTTGCGCAAAGCAAAACAGAGAGAGAGAGAGAGAGATAAACAAAAAACAAAGACATTGGTGCAATACATACGCATACATAGACAGAGGAACCCACCACACACTTGCATCAGCTGTCATCAACGGAAACTGGTTTTGTTCTACGGCCTCTCGAGATGTCTAAAACCCGTAACCTCAAGCCCCTAAGCGTCAGATCCTTACATCCGACCATCCCATGTCGCATATACTATAAGACTATGAAGCCCGTGGTGTACCCACCGGGGTGCAGGAGACAGCGCAGCTCCACGTCACGGCCCCACCCGAAGCTGAGTCGAAGGTGACGCCAAGCCTTGCAACTCCCCAAACATCAATCGATCCAGAAAATTCAACATGTCAGCATCAATTTTCGAAGCCGAAGCTTACAAGCAAGCCTCAATGACTCAATGCACTCAAACAACGTAGTGCCATCACCCAAGAGGTGCCAACCGAAACTCCTGCTACAATACCCCAGAAGCTTTGGTAGCTATGATTAGACCACTACACCACTGCTGAGAGTGCCCCCCCCTTTCTGAAAAACTACTCCCACTGCTACTGCTGCATCAAGTGCTAGTGCTACGCCTACGCCTATTCCCACTCCTAGTCCTCCTGCTACTTCTCTCCCCGCTCCTTCTGCTACTGCTGCGCCTGCTGCTGCTACTACTACTTCTGCTACCACCACCCCCCCACAACACATACCTACCTACACACCTACCTACCTACCTACCTACCTACCTACCTACCTACCTACCTACCTACCTCCCTACCTACGACCACGAGTACGACTACGACCGGGAAGACTGCAACGACTACGACGACGACAAGTGCCTGCTGCTGCTGCGATCCTGCTTCTTGTCATCCTTCTTCTTTTTCTTATTGCGCTCGACACAACTGGTCTCCCTCAACCGTAGTGTCCCTGAAACCTCTACCCTGAAGTCAAAGATCCCTAAACCCTACCCGTCCTTAAACCCTCTATGACTCTATGAAGAGAGAAAGAAGAGAGCCCGGCAGCCTCCCTTCTCTGGGATGCGCGGCGCCAGCCGCGGCCCAAGCTGGCCAGGCGCAGCTGAGAAGCAGAGGAGCAGAAGCCGAAGACCTGGCTCAAGGTCCGTTAAGCCTCTGGCTCGGGGTTTCGGATTGGATTCTACAGAGCTGGGTGTTCGTGCACAAATTCCTAAACCCTAAACCCCGCATGCCCTCAAACCGATGATACCATGCTTCCTTTCCGCCTGCTAACACCGATTAACACCGAGTGAAGGCACGGATCGTCCATGTGGCAGCTTGCTGCTTCCTTGTTGTTCTGTCTCTCACCAGGTTAGGGCCGAAGAGCCCACATATATGGAGGTTTCCGAAAATAGGGGACCCTAATATAGTACCCCAAATAGTAGTATCCCTATTATACGGCCTCCAAAATAAGGTACCCCTTACTTTCGGAAACTCCCACTTTGTGAGGTGAGTAGCTACTTCCTCTGTCTCCCTTTCTTTCGTCAGGGCTGTGGGCAAGAGGAAGCTCCCCTGTCTCCCCGTCCCCCTCTCTTGCCCGCTCTAAAGCCACTTACATGTATGGATGTCTTAAGTACGTAGGCATGCGAGTATGTCGGTCGCTCTGTCCGTCCGTCTGTATGTATGTGTATGCGTGTGTGAATGTGCGCCGGTACGCATAAAGGCATGTATGTAGGTACGTACGCCTGCATGTCCGTGTTTATGTGTGCGTCTCTCTCTGTATAAAATCTTCCAACACGCACACACACACACATACATACATACATACATACATACATGCATGCATGCATGCATGCATGCATGCATGCATACATACATACATACAAACATACGTATACATATGCCTGTGTATAACCATATGTCTATACATGCAAATATGCATGTGTCCAAACTTCTACAAAAATGCACATGGGTTACATACATACATATACAGACAGGCAGACAGACAGGCAGATAGCCGTACATACATACGCTCGTACTTACACACACACACACACAAATACATACTTACTTACACACATGAACACACGTGTCTTCAAACATTCACACCCATTGTCCGAGAGTCCTGCTCATGATCCCTGCGAGCTCAGGCCTGTAGGATGACATCCTCCCCGGTCTGGTCTATCCTGGATCTTAGGTGTTGTGTGAGTAATACTAGGGCCTGCCTGAAGATTGCTGTAACATTATTCCCTTACAGTTCCTATGTACTTCTACGTCCCCAGCATTTATGCTAACGGCCTGTTCTACTTCGTCTAGTCGAAGTCCAGAAAGCCGTGATCGTAGAGACGGGGAAATGCAAGACCAAAAGTAGTCCGACGAACGCACAGAAGACAACATCTTTATTCTGCTGACAGCAGTTGCGCTCATGAAGGCCTCGGAGAGATTGGCATTGTTCAGTGGTTCACCATTTCCGGAAATTACTGAGAGATACTATGGCAACTGATTCGCGGCACGTTGAGTTTTAATGACATGATGTTAGCAGCTAACATGTCACAGTCGGGGTTGCATATCGGCTCACCAGTTGGTGGACTCCTTCTCACCCACAGATTCAGTGCAATGCGAGCAGCAACCACCACGGCGCACGCAGCACATCAGCAGCGAAATTGCCAGTGATTTGCCTTTGCGGCTTGTATTGGCTCGAACTGACTGGGCCAGAAACTGGTGGCAGCATCGCAGAATGGCCCGTGCCAGCTACACAATGTGTTTCACTGCTTACTTGCAATGAATTTTAAACAGCTTCCAAAACTCGGCCGGGCAGGGAAAGCGTTCCTACTTGTGGTGTGTGCGAGTGTGTTATATATGTCGGTATACATACATATATATATATATGTATATATATATATAGAGAGAGAGATACATACATACAT